CTGGAGAGGGCGGGGGCGGGCAGGTGGGGGTCCGGCAGCCCCTCCTGAGAGGGCAGGGTCCGCCACGTCCCTCCGTGACCCTCCAGCCACTCTCCCCGGCCACAGCTTCCGGGGTCTCCGCCCAGGGGATGCTGCCAAGCCCCTGACCCCTGCTGCCCGCGGGGTCTCAGGCAGGAGCCCTGGCTTCTGGGGCCCAGCAGAGACGCCCTCCAAGGGCCTCGCTGAGCTGACAAGGGGGCCGCCAGAGTCGCCGGCACCCCATGGCCCCCGTCCAGGTGGCCCTGGTCGGCCCTGGGTGCCCAGAGACAGCGGTGCTGGGGCGCCCAGCGACGTGGCCATGGGCTTGGGGCGCTGGGCTGCCGGCCAGCCACACCTGGAAGAGGAGCTCCCTCCCGCAGGACTAGGGGCCACCTCTCTGCCCGGCAACTCAGGACGACGCACTGGCAGTCACTGGGCCACCCTTCCCTACGTCTCTCTGCAGCTGCTAAAACAGGAAGCCACAGAGGACAAGCGGGGCCTGGCCACGAGGAAGTCTGGCCCAGGCCCAGCCACTTGGGCCCAGCTGGAAAGGACCCCCCGCCCATCCGCACACAGACACACACACACACAGAGACAAAGATACACTCAGACACACACCCATGACACAGACACACAGAGACTCACAGACACAACACAACAGACACACACACAGACACACAGAAACATGCACATACATGGAGACAGTCACACAACACAATGGACACACAGAGACACACAAGGCAGCAGACACAGAGACACACAAAGACACTCAGACACACACCCATGACACAGACACACAGAGACTCACAGACACAACACAACAGATACACACACAGACACAGAAACATACACATACTTGGAGACAGTCACACAACACAATGGACACACACATAGACACAGAATACAACAGACACAGACATACATAGCACAGACAACACACTAGACACACCCACATAGACACATAGACACACAGAAGCATAGACAGTCACATAACACAATGGACACACAACAGACACAGAGACACACAAAGATACACACAGACACATACCCACAGACACAGACACACACAGAGACGCACAGACACAATACAACAGACACGCACACTCAGATACACAGAAACATACACGTCATAGAGATAGTCACACAACACAATGGACACACACAGACACACACCACAGTAGACACACACAAACATACTGACGCAAACACACACACAAAGACATTCAACAACACAACAGACACACATATAGATAAACACACACAGACATACAGAGAAACACACACCCATACAGACACACCCATACAGACATACACAGACAACACACGGTCAGCCTCACTGGCCCACTGCCTGGCCGAAACTCCCATCTGGTCGCAGGGCAGTACCCTAAAAGGCCGCGGGTCTTCGCAGAAGCTGCAGGTCCCGGGCCATGCATCACCCCCAGCTGGTCACACTCCTCCCTGAAACCACCGAGCTCCCTGGCAGGCCTCCCTGCCGGGTGCAGCCCACCCACGGGCCATGGGACAAAGCAAGGTTCCGGCCCCCTTGGCCAGAGCCCGGCTCCCCGTGGAAGGGGAGGTCTGCAGAAGTCGGAGGCTAAGACTTGGGACACCTGGCGTGAGACTGACATCTGAGAAACGTGCAGTGTGACATAACACGTAGCCCACACCCCGAGCCACAGACAAAACCAATCCAGCAGCCGTCACGCAGACAGCCAGTTCCATACGCCCAAGTTCCAACGGGGAGTAGTTACCCAACGTACGTCAAGGAAACTGGGTCTCAGTACAGAATGTCTTTCTCAAGCCAGGACGGGGTCCCTACCAGGACAGACCCGAGCTGGGGGAAACGGTCACAACAGCCCAAGGATGGAGCGACCCAGAGTCCTGTGAAGGGTGGGTAAGCCCAGGGTGGCCCTCCAGACAAGGGAATATGAGTGGACCCAAAACCTAGAATCATCTTCCAAAGGGCAGTCCCTTGGAGTCCAGGCTTGTCCCCAGGTGACTGGTCTGGGAACCCATCGGCCTCCATGGACCAGCCGGCGTTGCTGGGAGAGGCTGTGTGCAACTTCTGTGAATCTTTTTGGAGATTCTTTCAACGCGTTTGCCCATTTCATGATGGGGGGTTGACATGCGCACCTGCCCACCCCGCGCTGAGGGTTCGGCCGTTTTTGACCCAAAACTCCAGGCCCCCCATACCCCAGTCTCCCTATTCACCCGATCTCGCCCTGAGCGACTTTTTTTTGTCTCCCCAGATGGAAAAAGTCCTCCAAGGAAAACGCTTTGCCGACGTGGAAGAGGTGAAACAAAAACCCTCAAAGGCATCAACATGGTCAAGTTCACAAACTGTTTGGAGCGGTGGAAAAAGCATCTCGATGGGTGCATTGCATCCAGCGGAGGAGACTTTGAAGGGAAAGGAAGTTTAAACCGGTGAGAAGAGGCCGGACATGGTGGCTCTGCCTATAACCCCAGCACTTTGGGAGGCTGAGGCAAGAGGATTGGCTGAGCCCGGGGGTTCGAGACCACCCTGGGCAACTTGGTAAGCCCTCGTCTCCACAATAAATAAATAAAAAAAAACTAAAAATATTTTTAAGAATAAATACATGGCCGGGCTCGGTGGCTCAGCCTGTCATTCCAGCGCTCTGGGAGGCCAAGGTGAGTAGATTGCCTGAGCCTGCGGGTTCAAGACCAGCCCAGGCAACTTGGCGAGACTTCATCTCTACAATAAATCAAAAATTAGCCAGGCATGGTAGCACACGCCTGAAGTTCTGGCTACTCGGAAGGCTGAGGTGGAAGGATCGCCAGAGCCCAGCAGGTCGAGGCTGCGGTGGCCGGGAGTGGCCACTGCACTCCAGTCTGGGTGACAGAGTGAGACTCCAATTCAAAAAAAAAAAAGAATGAATACACAAATGTTTTATAAATAAACTCTGGGCTTTTTTGGGTCCTCCCAGGTATTCCTCAACCTTAAGAGGGACAGAGTCTGTAAGAGTCCACTCGTGTGAAATTCCCAAAATAGTCAGACCCATGGACACAGAAAGCAGACCACATGGCTGGGGCGGGGGGCAGGTGATCTGGGAAGATGAAGCCTCCAGGAGATGGACGGTGGTGACGGCCACACTTCAGTGGGAAGGGACTTGGCGTCACTCAACTGTACATGCTGAAATCATCAAAATGGGAATTTTATGTTTACGTACATTTACTCCAATTCAAAAGAAATAAAAACTTAATGGAAAACAAAATTTCAGCAAAGTGGAAAATCATTTAAACTTCATCTTTGGACAGAGAGGGAGGTACCTCTAAATAAGGAATCAAAGCTAGGCACGGTAACTCACACCTATAATTCCAGCACTTTGGGAGGCCAAGACTGGAGGATCGCTTGGGGCCGGGAGTTTGAGACCAATCTGGACAACACAGCAAGAACCCATTTCTTTTTTCTTTTTCATTTTTTTTGAGCTGGGGTCTCACTCTGTCACCCAGGCTGGAGTGCAGTGGCACGCTCCTGGCCACCACTGGGCTCAGGCGACCCTTCTGCCTCAGTCTTCCAAGCAGCTGGAACTACAGGCGCGTGCTACCACACCCAGCTAATTTTTTTATTTATTGTAGAGACGAGGTCTCACCATGTTGTCCAGGCTGGTCTCAAACCCGCAAGCTCAGGCAATCCTCTCGTCTCAGCCTCCCAAAGTGCTGGGATTACAGGCTAGAGCCACCGTGCCCAGCCAAGAACCCATTTCTACAAAACAAATTTTAAATATGAGCTGGCTGTGGCGGCGCGCACCTGTAGACCCAGCTATTCGAGAGGCAGAGGTGGGAGGATCACTTGAGCCCAAGAGTTTGAGGCTGCAGTGAGCTACGACTGTGCCACGGCTCTCCAGCCTGGGTGACAGAGCAAGATCCTGTCTCTAAAAAGAAAGAAAGAGACAAGATAGAATCAAAGCCAGAGCCCGCTGAGGCTGGATCTGAGCAAGAGACTCAGGAAGGGAAAAGCCAAAAGGAAGAGGAAACCTCCAAGCCGTTCCTCGGGCATTTCTCTTCCAAGTCTCCACCCCCTCCTGCCAGGAGCCTGTGAGGCTGGGAAGCCACAGCCTGCCAGTCAGCACCTGCCATCCTCCAAAGGACTGCGGGACGTCACCTGCACCCTGGATGTCACCTGTATCCTGGATGTCACCTGCACCTTGGACATCACCTGCACCTGGGACGTCACCTGCACCCGGGATGTCACCTGCACTCCACACGTCACCTGCACCTGGTACGTTACCAGTGCCCGGGATATCACTTGCACCTGGGACGTCACCTGTGCCCCAGAACTCACCTGTGCCCAGGATGTCACCTGAGCCTGGGACGTCACCTGCACCCTGGACATCACCTGCGCCCCGGATGTCACCTGCACCCAGGTCGTCACCTGTGTCCTGGAAGTCACCAGTACCCTGGATATTACCTGCGCCCTGGGCGTCACCTGTCCTGTGCCTGGGATGTCACCTGCATCCGGGACATCACCTGAACCCAGGACATCCCCTTTGCCTGGGACATCCTCTGTACCTCGGACGTCACCTGCACCAGGGATGTCACGACCTGTGCCTGGGACGTCACCTGCACCCCGGAAGCCAGAAGTCACCTGCACCTGGGAGGTCACCTGCACCCAGTGAGATGAAAGGCGTTCAAGCCACCGTTCCCACCAGGCCTAGATTCTCACCGGGAGAGAAGCCCAGTCTCCAGTAGGAGTTTCAATTTGGCCAACTTTTTCTGTCCACCAAGGACACAGCTGTCCTCACAGAACAACATCTCACCTCGAAACTGGCTGGGGGAAGGCCATGGGGGGAGGGGAACGTCTGGCCCACGGTCAGCACCTGCCTCGGCTCGTGGGGCGGGACGGGAAATCGACCCGATGGGCTGGAGGGGCACCTGGGGGTCTCTGGGGACCGGTGACCGCCATCTCCCCGCTGGAGAGGACCCAGACTTCCTCACGACAATACACGCTGATACACCGACCACACAGTGGAGAGACCGCCAGACTCTGCGGCCTCTGTGAGGGAAGCGCCTAGAATTCAAAGCCTCGAGCCAGGCCTGACCGCAAAGCCCACACTTGTGGGTGTGTCATGCCCATGCCGCCCACCCCCAGTTGAAGGGGGGGTGCCAGCTGGGCCCTGGTGGCCCCAGGTGGCTGAGGCTATGGCGAGCACATCCTTCCTAGAAGGAACGCATGCCCGAGACGGTGAAGCAGCCAGTCCTGCCACAGTGCTCAGTTTCTTTTCTTTTACTTTGTAATTTAATTTTTTTGAGTCGGAGTCTCATACTGCTGCCCAGGCTGGAGTGCAGGGGCACGATCATGGCTCACCACACCCTCAACCTCCTGGGCTCAGGCCTATCCTTTTGCTTCAACCTCCCAGACAGCTGAGACTATAGGCGTGCACTGCCACGCCTGGCTGATTTTTTAGTTTCTTGTAGAGATGGGGTCTTGCTATGTTGCCCAGGCTGGTCTTGAACTCCTGGGTTCAAGCGATCCTCCCACCTCAGCCTCTCAAAATGCCGGGATCACAGGTGTGAGCCACTGTGCCCAGCCTGCTCATTTTATTTTATTATGTTTTGAGTTGGGGGTCTTACTCTGTTGCCCGGGCTGGAAGGCAGTGGCACAATCACGGCTCACCGCAGCCTCAACCTCCTGGGCTCGGATGATCCTTCTGCCTCAGCCTCCTGAGTAGCTGGGACTACAGGTGGGCACCACCACACCTGGCAAATTTTTTATTTTTGATTTCAAAAGAGACAGGATCGCACGATGTTGCCCAGGCTGGTCTTAAACTCCTGCACTCAAACAATCCTCCTACCTCGGCCTCCCAAAACACCCAGCCCTGCCTCTTTCTTTAATGTGTCACTGACGGAGCTCAAGTATGGCGCCCTCACCCTCATTATCCCCACAAATCACGTCCCTTTCGCGGTGTGGTTCCCCAGAGCGTGGTGACACTTAGGGGCGCACGCCCCACACTGTCACAGACATGACTCGCAGTTCCTACAAAATAAAGGGTAAGTCTACAGTAACCGACACCAACCACCCCTCACGACACAAAGCCACCTTGCAGAGAAAAAACCCCATGGGACACGGCCCTGACCACGACCATGACCACCAGACTCCAACGTCCACACGTAACCGCAGTCGCGGGGTTTCATGCCGCGCAGGGCCATCGCCTGCCACCACGTCGTCGGTGCCGAGTGTCATTGTTTACCCAGAGTCCCCTGCGGTCTGGCCCCTCTGTTGAGACCCCCACGGGGAGCCCTCCCAGGGGTGTCCCCCGCGCCCTCCCGGCAGGGACACCTGCCTGGGTGCCGTCGTCCCTGGCCCGCTTGATGTTCTGGCGCCCGTCCACCCAGTAGATGAACTTGTCCAGCGGGTCGTAGTCGATGGCCTTGACATTCCGGAGCCCGTGCAGTGGCAGGACGAGGTCTGGGCTGTGAGGGTCATCTGGGATCATCCGGCTGATGGCGCACTTCTGGCTGAACAGCAGGAAGGCGGTGGGCGCTGGGGGGTGGGGGGAGAGGGCACGGGTCAGCCACGGGCCGAGATCTGTGTCCGCCCTGCTAGGCGTCCCCGGGGAGGCAAGGACGAAGCTTCTCGGGGTGGATGGTGAGGACATTCACCCTCCATACAATATGTTGTTGGTTCAAGCCTTTTTTTTCTTTTGAGTTGGAGTGTCACTCTGTCGCCCAGGCTGGAGGGCAGGGGCACGCTCCCGGCCACCACAGTCGTGACCTGCTGGGCTCTGGTGATCCTTCAGTCTCAACCTTCCAAGTAGCTGGAACTACAGTCACGTGCCACCACACCCGGCTAATTTTTTGATTTATTGTAGAGATGAGGTCTCGCCAAGTTACCCAGGCAGGTCTTGAACCCGTGAGGTCAGGCAATCCTCTCACCTCGGCCTCCCAAAGCGCTGGGATTATAGGCATGAGCCACCATGCCCGGCCTGTCCCTGTTGTTTCAAAGTTGTTTTTTTTTTCTTTTTTGTAGAAACAGAGTCTCGCTATGTTGCCCAGGCCGGTCTTGAACTGGTAGCCTCAAGCAATCCTCCTTCCTCAGCCTCTTTGAGCGCTGGGATTTTAGGCTTGAGCCACCAAGCCCAGCCTATACTCATCTTTTTTTGGAAATAGATAACACATGTATTTTTAAAGCATCAAGGCTTCAGACAGCAGGAGGGCGGACAACACCAAACGCACACCCACAGATGGCTGTGGTCCGAGGGTGGCCGTGATGCAATGTGCCCTGTGCCTGTTTGGGTGCCAGTGAGTTCTGAAAACCGGGTGAATGACCACACCGGGAGGGGTCACGCCTCTCCTCGGGAGTGTCAGTGAGCAGCGCGGAACCTCACGTCGCAGCGCCAGGAATCAGCTGGGCTGGGACTGGCTCTTGGAGACTCCCTGAGAAGCAGGCCTCTCTGTAGCCCGGCTTCCGGGGTTTTCAAGGTGTGGAGTGGCTAGACCATCTGGGTGTGGAGGAGGCTAGACCATCCCGGTGTGTTGTAGGTTAGACCATCCAGGTGTGGAGTGGGTTAGACCATCCAGGCATGGAGTAGGCTAGAACATCGATGTGTGCTGTAGGTTACACCATCCGGGTGTGGAAAAGGCTAGACCACTGATGTGTGTTGTAGGCTAGATCATCAAGGTGTAGAGAAGGCTAGACCATCTGGGTGTGGAGTAGGCTAGACCATCGAGGTGTGTTGTAGGCTAGATCATCAAGGTGTAGAGCAGGCTAGACCATCCGGGCGCCATTGAAGCCTCAGGTGGCCCTTGGCACTGACCCAGCAGAGGACTCCAGCACCTGCTTCTAGAAGGCCCACACCATGAACCCTCGCGGCAGATGACAGAGGCCCACGGACGGAAGTCCAGCCCCGGCTCTCGGGACATGCAAGGGCCCCGGGCACCCCTCATGGCGGGGTCTGCAATCTGAGCTGTCGTTCAGTCGGGGGACCCTGAGCAACAGCACTCCCCCTCGCCCCGGGCTGCCTGCTCCCTACTTGACCCTTCAAGGTCATGGCCCCAGGGCGTGGGAGCCCCAGGACCAGGGAGTCCCAGGCCCCTCCCACACCAGCTCAGGGTCCCAAACCCTGGACGCCTCAAGCTCCTCTTCCCACAACCAGGATGGGCAAGACTAGCCAGGCCAGTGTCTAGAGCCACCAAAGCTCCAACAGGGCCCAGATGGTCTAGCCCACAACACAACTCGGTGGTCTAGCCTACTGCACACCTTGATGGTCTAGCCTATTCCACACCTGGATGGTCTAGCCTACTCTACACCTTGATGGCCTGGCTTACAACAGACCTTGATGGTCTAGCCTACTCCACACCCGGCTAGTCCAGCCTACAACACACCTCAATGGTCTAGCCTCAATGGTCAGCTGTCAAGTGCATGCAGACAGGAGAGAGGCCACCAGTAGGGTGCAAATGCAATCCCAGAGGGACCGTAGGAAAGTCACCAAGGGCTCTCTGCACCTCACACTTCCTGCAGCTGATGTGAGGACCCAGAGGCCCACCCAACAGTGTCAAGGTGAGGGTCACACGAGTGGATGTGAGGCCGCCTGGCAGGGGTCAGGGGCGGGGACATGGGCCAGCCTGCCGGGAAGCAAGTGGCCCTGGGCGGGTGACTACTCATCCCTGGGCCTCAGGTTCCTTGTCTGTGGAATGCGGACAGGCAACCCCTCAACTAAAAGCCCGAAAGCACTTAGCACAGGGCTGGCGAGCTGAGGGGGCGGTGCCCACAGCACCCGGTTTTGATGAAGCGACCGGCCCTTCACCCAACCTGGGCTCCCCCCAGCGAGCTTTATGCGGCTTGTGCAGCGCACGGCCTGCCCAGCCAGCCACGTCCTCCCAGGTTCCCCCAGACGAGACGCTCCTTTCACCCTTGGCACCCAGAGGCAGCCTGATCTGACGTGAGGGTGAGTGAGGTGAGAGGGGGGAAACTGAGGCACTCACGGCTGCAGTTGCGGCCGCTGGGGTCCAGCGTGTAGTGGGAGGCGCAGCCACAGCGGTGGCCGCCGGGGACGGCCAGGCACAGCTGCCCGCACTGCCCATTGCTGTGTGTGCAGTCGTTGAGACCGTCCTGGCGGGAGGCGTGGAACACCAGGATGTCCATCACGAAGTCCAGCTGGCCCTGGATGAGCGTGCGGTTCCGGCCGCTGGTCTTGTCGGCCCGCTCGATGCTGTGCAGGTGCCAGTCGGTCCAGTAGATGTAGTCGCCGTACTGCGTCAGGCCGAAGGGGTGCGGCAGGTCGTCCGCGATCACCGCCCGCTCCTGACCTGCGGGGACACCGTGTGGCATCAGCCATGG